AGCATCCCCTGCCCACCCCACCCCCCTGCCCCCGAGCCTCCACCCCCAAACCTGAGGGTTTCACTCAACACGGACCCCCAAAAGCAAAATCTGGAGTCACCATAACCCCTGAACTAACAAGCAAGTGCAGAGGCTGACTGGTTAAAATATCCAGCCACTAGCAAAAACTACCAGCCCCTCCCCCTTCCCCAGGGAAGCAGTTGATCCAGTGAGATACATCAATTACAGGGTTTTCTGAGGCATTTGATCTTTCACCGGTTTCTAATAATACTCAGCACTCACACGGCATTTGCAGCCTCAGAGCGCTTGGCAGGCATTAAGGGCCCGATCCGGCAGGCCTCGGACGGACTGGGCCCCGGTGCCCCCACCCCTCTCTGAGCTGGAAAAGACCTAGCGCGCACACACATGCCCAGTCCCTGCTCCCTCTCAGCACCAACGCAGAGCAAGAGGATCGACCCCTGGCTTTCTTTGCAGATCACCAGGAAAAGGCGACTTGAGCTAACGGCCTCTGGCAGAAAGCCCATCCCTGAAGTGAAGTGAATCTTTCTGCTGCTAAGGAACTGACTGACTGTGGGTGCAGAGAGGACAGAAGGGGAGAGAAATGACTCATCGAGGAAATGCTGGGATTAGCCTCCTTGGCTTCAGAGGATTCAGCCCCTCAGACTCCTCTGCAGGCACCTCCAATGACTGCAAAGTGCTGGCAGGGGAGCCAGCCCTCGGCCGTCCCAGTTGGGAGCAGAGGCTGCCGGGCCACTCGGAACATCTGTGGGCTGAAGCAGTGAGCGTGACTTCTCCCCACTCTGGCCCCGCTGTCGTGAGTCATGCTGCGAAGCATCAGACTGAAAGCCTGTGATCAGGTACCAACCTGAGCAATACAGGAAGGGGCCAGGGGGAAGTGTCTGGGTGTGAGTTTCCTGCCGTGAGTGTTGTGTACAGTGGGTAATGGAGGGCGCTGAATCTCTTGCAGCAGGTGCTAGGGTGGCCGGGGCGGGGGGCGCGTGGGTGCCCGCAGCTCCTGGAGACGTCCCTGGATTGGGCACCTCAGTCTCACCTGGTCACAGATCAGCTCCCACTTCTTCTCGCTGTCATACTGGCTAAGCAGCTTCATCTTGTCGGGCGGCAAGTTCATGGAATCCTGCAGGGGAGACAGACGGGGTGAGACAGGAGTGGGGGCCAGAGCTGCCATGACCACCAGGGAAGCAGAGCCCCTGTGTGGGGAGGGCTGAGCCCTAGCCATCTCTCTCTTTAGGCCCAACCTGGACGATGCAGGGTCCCTGCATGTCACCCCATCTTCCTCCAGTGCCCTGGACCCTCCACCCTCCTACCAGCACTGCATCCCCGCCACCCCACCCGACCCTTCCACCTCCAAGGACGGAGCCCCTGAGCTCCAGCTCCACGTCAGGACGTGGTTGGGTTGCTCCATCACCAACCAGAGCTGCCAGGACTGGTCAGGTCTCAGAGAGACAGACTCCCAGCTCGGCACGAGCCTGGCACAGACACAGACAGTCTGTCCTGGACAGGTGGAGACCTCCGACATCTACTCTAGTGTCTGGCTGCAGAACGAGAGGCTTCAGCCTATAGTGTCCTGAGGACTTCCCGCTCTGGTGCTCCTCACCACCAACCCAGGAGTTCCCCCCCCCTCGGGATTTGCACTGCGCACGGCGCCGGGGGGGCAGAACCCCAGGAACTCGCTCAGTGCTGTGGTGATTCTTGTGCAGCACACAAGGATCAATAAAGCCAAGTCGAGTTTCAGTGCAATGATTTAAGCTCCCCATCACCAGTCTCCACAAGCCCAGACTCCCTCTGGCTGCGAGTTTTAACCCGGGGCCTCTTGATGCTTTACAATCAGCTACTCAAGCCTCACAGCTTGGCCCTGCCTGGTGGGTCAGTATCGTTATCTCCCATTTTATGACCGGGGAAACTGAGGCACGGATGGGGGATGTGATTTGCCCAAGTCCACACCGGGAGCGACTGAGTGGGGTGTAGAACCCAGGAGTCCCGGCTCTCAGCCCCCAGCTGCAGCTGTTGGACATTGCCCCTTGCCATCTTAAAGGCTGCATTAAGTGCGGTTACCGCTCTCCCTCCGAGAGACCACGTGGGAGCCATGTGCAGCCGCGTGATGGGTCTCAGCCCATGAAATCAGTGTCTGTTTAGAGGCATGAGCTCAGCGGCAGGATGTTGCGCGCTGCGGTGTTCCCAGCACTGATGTTGCTCAACCCAGCTCCTTCCTGCTTCCCCATCCCACGGCAGTCGGTTTGGGCCCGATCTGGAGAGAAGGGGAGCCAGTGAGGCCCCTGGGCAGCTCGGCCTGTCCCAGGATCGGGCCCCTCGTGTGGTAATTGGGCACAAACGGTTGGCTTCTCCAGAGGCTGCCCTTGCGTCGCGTGTGCAGGAACAGGATGTGACATCACTTCCCCTTTCCAAACAGGTAGCACGGGGGACTTCACTTCTCCTTATGCTCGGCTGTGCTGGGGGAGGGCTCGGGCCTGACCAAGTTACATGATTCGCAGCTCGCTCACTGAGCGTTGGTGCCGGGACCCAGCGAGGAAGCCACCAGGCCAAAGTCCTTCTCCCTTCCAGCACATGGCCCCATTGAGCCTACAGCTCCCAGCATGCCATGCTCCACGCTGGCGTCCAAGATGGAGCTCGAGCACACAGACCTGCCTGCCCTGGGATTTCTGGAGCTCCCTGGGCAGCCTGCCAGGGCTCGGGGGCGGCAATGGGGCTGCAGCCATGAAAGAAGCCCCAAGGGGCACTAAACAGAGATGGGGGCCATAGATCCTGCTCAAGAGATGAAGCCCAGCAGTTCCCCACAGACATTTAATGCACAGCCTGGGTTATTTTCCTGGTTCTAAAGAAAATCGTCACTTTTCCCCCCAAAAGGCAAGGAGCCGGGAGCTAAGGCCCCAGGGAGGGGCAGCTGTCAGCTGGGAGGAAAAACTCCATTGCCCATGGAAGGCAGGAACAATGACACATGGTGCTCATGGGATGCACCTCCATCATGCTCCAGGCTTGTGCTTTGCGAGCAGGAGGATCTGAGTTCTAGCCCCACCGCTGCCATGACTCTGAGTGGTGACAGTGACAGCTGTGAAGTGCCTGTAGATTCCTCACAGTGCTAAAAGTGGAGGGCAGCCAACACTCATGGCATTTCACACAAATTAGCTTGAGTCATCAGGCTGCCAAGCCTGGGCAACATGGGCAGAACATCCTAGGAGCCCAGATAATGAGAAACGAGAGAGGAAACACGCTCCAGAGGGATTTGGACTTAAAACCCAAACTGCTCAGGAAGAAAGCGAAAGAGCCTCGGCTCGTTATAGAGGAGTGCGTCCAGGAGGAGACCTGCCAAGCCAGATGCACTCCTGGAGCGGAAATCGCACCACCCGCTAACTGCACTTCAGTGCCCTTTGTGGTGCATTCGGGATGAATGAGGCTGTCAGAGGCGATGTGTGCGATTGAGAGGAGACGAGGACACGGAGCCACCTCGGGAGAGGGCTCAGGGATTCTCCAGCAGCGGGGAAACCCATGGCAGAAAGGCACCCCAGGGCCCGGGGAGCGCCTTGCTCCAGGCACAGCTGGGTTTAGCCAGGTCCCACTGGATCCAGCTCACTCCTATCTGTGCTGGCTCCTTCGGTCCCTTTGCTTTGGAAACACTAGGGTGAGCCTCTGGCGGGGCCCTCCTCCCTCCCTCACGCAGCCATGCAGAGCCGAGCTGAGCCGAGCAGGGAGGCTAAAATTAGGCTGCGAGGCTAGAAATAGAAATAGCCTCACTGAGACAATCAACAGCCCCGGCGCTCACTGCCTGGGCGTCCGAGCAGGATCGTGCTCCGATTGAGAGCAGCCGGCGGAGAGCCCAAGCTGCACCTGCGCTGGGTGCTCTCCAAGGAATGGGTCCATTCTCACGGCGCCCACCGCCAGAGGTGCTGTGGGTTATGCTGCACGGTGCCACCCGGTGCCCAGGAAGCAGTGGGCACAAGGGCAAGTGCAGCATGTCAGATGGTCTGTTAACAGCACAGAGCTCTCAGGGTAGGCAGGGCTGCCTTCAGCTTCCCCAGGCATCACACACAACCGCCCTCACCTACCCGCAGCGTTTAATGGCCCAGTCGCTCATGGACAACATGGCATTTCCCAGCATGGACCAGCCCTGGCAGGACAATCTTGGGGCTAAAGCACAGGGCTGGGAGCCAGAACTCCTGTCTCCAACAAGTCACTTCTTCTCCCCCTCTGTAAAGCAGAGATACCCTGATGGGAGAGATTTACACATCATAGCCCAGGTTGGGAGAGCCTGGCGCGGGAGAGGCTGGCAAGGGGTGGGGCTTTCGCTCCAGCAGAGAGGCAGCAATGTCACCCGCCAATCGTAGCCCCTCTTTCGTTAACATCCTTGACCAAGGAGAGATGCTGCGTGCCACCATCCAGCAGTGGCTAATGCAACTGGGCAGACCCCTGCCGTTTCACCAGGACCAGGGAAGGCAAGTCAATAGGACTTTAAACCAATGTGAGGGCCCCACGGACACAGGGCAGCTCTGAACCTGGGCACTTGGCTCCTGTCCCAAGACAGCCATCTTCCTAATCGTCCTAATGCCTTTTAGGGCAGGTTCCTGCCCTGGTTTAGTGCCCAGCCCCTCCTCCCCCACTCTGCTCGGGCTAGGATCCCTAACTCCCAACCATTCAGAGAGCCCCCCCCCCCGGCCTCCTCTCCCATTTCCAGTACATCTGGGGGCTCCATTAAGGCTCACAGGTGGGCATTCTCCCAGCCCGAGCACTAGCACACAGAACGTAGAACTGCCATCCCTCGTAGGGATGTGCTAGAAATACTCCAGGGCTTTGGCCATCACAACAATTGCTGTGGGCAGCTCACACACTGTGCTTCATATAGATTCCAAAGCGCAACGGTTAATAAACCGGAGCCTGCCCACCCACTTGGCTCGCCCTAGGGAAAGCAACTGTCTGTGCGCCCACAGCTCCCCGCTCCTCACTGGCCTCTGGCCCAGACTCGGCTGCCTGGGATACGGAGGGAATTAAAGCCCTCAGCAAACAAGATGCTGCACTGGCATCGCCGCAAGGTGCCTTGTCATCACCTCAGGAGCCTCCTCATCACGGCAGGGGGAGGGAGAACTCAGTGGTTTGAGCATTGGCCTGCTAAACCCAGGGTTGTGAGTTCAATCCTTGAGGGGGCAATTTAGGGATCTGGGGCAAAAATCTGTCTGGGGATTGGTCCTGCTTTGAGCAGGGGGTTGGACTAGATACCTCCTGAAATCCTGGATTCCTCCCTGGTCTGGAGTTTCCCTCCTGCAGGGAGCTGTCAGCACATCTGCGTGCTCTCGGATGGGCTGAGGGCCCCCAGCTGTGCACCCCACCCATACCAGCACACCATTATGATCCTCCCCTGGGAACAGAGGGCAGCACTTGGGCACAGCACCATGCTCTGGGTGTCCCTGGCATGTGGAGGGACAACAGGGCCAGGGGAGCTAAGAACGAGGCAAAGCTGCCTCAGGCAGAGGACAATGAACAGACTGAATCCTCCATGCCTGCCAGCCGCCTCATCAGATCTCAACAGCTGTGTGGGCTCCGCCCCAGTCAGTTCTCCGAAGGTGTCCCCCAGGTGGGGCTGGTGCTGCTGGATGAGACATAGCGCCAAGGCTCTGACCATTGGTGATCATTAAAAATCCCACAGCACCCTGCAAGAGGAGGGTCAAGTTAACCCGGGTGTCCAGGCCAAGTTCCAGTCTGGTTGATTACTTCCTGCCTCCCCTAGCTCTTCCCAGCAATGTCAGTTTCATAAGGAATCCTTCTTCACTTCCTGTCCTAAACTAACATGTTGCATTATTGTGTGCTATTAAGCAGCTGCCCATTCCACCCCAGAGGTGGCTGCATTTCAGTGCTGGGTGAAGCAATTCCTCCCTACAGCTGGCACAGTGGGTTGGGATAAAAGGAGCTCTATAAACGTAGGGCCGTATTATTACTACAAACAAGGAGCTGCAATAGAGGCAATTGCCTCCATAGGAGTTTTTAAACTCCCAGTGAATGGACTGCCAATTAACACATTTGCACGTGCTGTCTGGACAGTCGATAGCTCTGGGACACAAGCCTTTGTGGCTTGCCCCAGCCTAGGGGGCCAGACTCCCAGGTCTCCCTTGA